TCCATCTAGCGAGTCAGTTTAGTCTCACTTGGAGTAAGGACCTCGTCTGTTGGTTCGTCTGTAAATCGCCGGCTGTTCAAGTCTGGAGTATTGGGTTTCAATAGCCTTCAGCGCGCGTTGCACATTAACTGGTCTGGTAAGGCTTTTACTTCAGCGTGACTCTTTGGGGTTATAAATCCTTTCTGGTTTGGAGCTGAGCTGTAAAAGTCAGGTCCTGACCGCTTGTGGTCATTAGAGTTCCCACGGTGCTTTTTGAAACAGTAACGTAGTTAATTCGAGCGCCTGGCCAGATTCCAGCTCCTGCTGTGCTTAGCCTTCCTCCCTGCCTCATCCCGGTCTCATCGAGCCGGATTTTCACCAGGGCACAGCAATTTTAGCCCAGAAAGGCTAGTATAAATAGGGTATAAGACATCAAAGCTTGATGGTCTATATATTGGGCATCATATAGATACCTAATAATACCTGGATAGCCCCTGGCAGCCCCTGCAGCGGGGCGCGCAGCAGGGCACAAAGGTCTCCTGGCAGAGCCTGGCCAGGAGCAAGGCTTGAAGAGAGGAGAACTTCCCAGGGAAGGGCACGGGGAGCCAGGTGGAGCCTTTATACTTCAGTCGCTTTCACTTCAGTCTCTCTCCTGGAGCCGTCTGCCTTCTCAGACTACCTCAACTCGCTTATTGGATTTTTATCTCAACAACTAACTTTGTGTGAACTGCTACCCCTAACCTCTTTGCAGGTCCCCCTAACATACGCCATGCCCTGCACTGAGGCATGCTGTTTGCTTTTGAAGGTTATTAGAATATAGGAGAAGGTAAAAACTGATCCATATAAACCTGATTCTCTTTCCAAGCCTGCTCTATGCCAGCAGGGGCTGCTATGGCATAAGGGAAGGGGCAAAAACATGTATTCGGGGTGGTGGGGGGTAAGAGGGGAACTGCTGCTGGTTTGTACCACTGCTTTCCCTAAGGTTTTCTGCAGAAAAACAGCCGGAAGGCATGAGGTGCGTGAAAGCTGGGAAAGCTCGTTTGTTGGGTTACTTGCCTCCCTCCCGTTCAGGTGAGGTGCAATCCAGCCACACAAAGCCAAGGTTGCGCTACTGGATTTTGCATGCATTTTTACTACAGAGGCTCTGTGTTGTGCTGCCCACCAGGGCACCGGAGAGGCGAGGGGCACCGTCCTCCGAGGGCTCGAGGGCCTTGCGATGCCTGCCGGGCTCGGCCTCGCTCTTCAGCAGAGGGCACAAAGTGCCTCACGTGCCCGAGGAAGGAGCTGCCGTGGCAGCAGGCCTGTGGTCCCTCTGGGATCGTGGAGCTGTAGCACAGGCGGCCAGACTCGCTCTCCAGTGGGGCTGAGGGAAAGGCAGGGAGCAGACTGCAGAGAGCAAGAGCTGCTCAGGGAAGCCAGGTCATCAGGAGAAAAGCCCCACTGAGATGCAGCGCTGTGTCAATGGATGGCGGGTCACAGAACTTTTGATGGTCTGATTTTTCTGTAATAAGTCCTTAGGAGAGGAGGGTTATTCAGTGTTCAGTTTTGGTTTTTCCCTGCTCTTCCCCTTCCCTAGGGAAGGTTAGGCGATGAAGACAACTAAAAGGCCTGTAGCCAGAAGGGGCAAGTTCCTGCTCTGAGGTCTGGAGTCCAACTTACACTTCCCAGCTCAGTTTGGAGTGGCATTGCCAGCAATTACTGGACTAAAGCATGCCTCCATTTCCTCCCCCCAGAGAAAACTGTTGCTCTTCTACAGGTTTATCCATCATCTCTACCAGCTCTTGCTGCTCCTATTCAAATCCATTCTTTCCTTCTCCTCTGCCTTAACCCATGGTGTCAATAGGAGCCATGCTCTGCGTGCCTCCACAGGTTGTCCCCATTCCTTCCTGTCGCCAAACTCCTTGCTGCCTGTCTTTCCTCCATGCGCAGGGGTTTTAAGGCTCCTGGGGCAGCCTTGTGCGAGCTCTCCTGTCTGACTGGTCTGGGCTCTGGGGGTACGGATGGCAGCGGGGAGCCTGGGCTCATCATCCACTGGGTTGTTACCCCGGGTTTCCCAACAGCGAGCAGTTGCCAATAGCTATCCACCAGGTTTTGCTGAGGAACGTGGACGTAGAGGTCTGTGTTGTTTCTTCTTCCCTTTTCCCTTTAGCACAGCAGTGCTCCACACAGGCTTTCTCAGTCGGGGAGGTGCAGAGAAGTACTAGAGAAGTAAGAAGGGTGCATGTGTCTTTTTCCTCTTCTGAGAGGTGAGCCTCACATATAACAGAGCACACACGAACCAGCCATTCCCAGGTCCGTGGGGGAAGCTCAGCTGGGAGTCATAATCCTGGAAGGGCAAATAGAAACTTTGAGAGTGCTGCTCTAAGAGAAGGACTAAATCCTGGATATTGCACTCTGTTGGCCCTCTCTCCATGTGCACAGTGAATGTCTGCCTCCTGCTTCTGGCTTCTTCCTCCATCCTGGCTCGAAAATACATTGCTTCAGCCATGCTCTGCGAAGGAGCAGATTGATTGTGGTAGCAGGGAGGAAACCAATGCAGGGGAAAAAAAATCTGCAGATTGCCCGAGCTGCCAGGGGCACTCAGGAGAGGGCAGCAGGGAATGCCATGGCTGGA